TTCCTTTCGGTACAATGACTCAGTATATTCCTTCCATCTTCTTTTGATACCTCCTGGATCACTTAACATTCTGCCTAAAGCATCCTTGATTGTAGCAACTCGAGGTTTGAATTTGCTCTTCAGTTCCTTGAGCTTAAGAAATGCTGAGAGAGTTTGGCCCTTTTGATTTTCCCACTCTAGCTCGTCGCACATTTCATTGTAGTAGTTTGCTTTGTCATTCCGTGCTGCCTTTTTGGAATCTTCTGTTCACCTCTTTAGTGTCTTGGATTCTTCCTTGTGCTTTGGCTTCTCTCACCATTGGACCTTGACCATCATTACACTGTCTTTTCTCTTGGATCATTCTCATTTTCTTCCACCCTCCCTTCACCCACCTAACTGTGGTTTCTCCCCTGACCAACCTCCACCCTCCCTGCCTTGAGTTCCCATACATGTTTTACTAGTTATCCTTCTATTTTTATAATAATAAAATAATGATCTTCTGCAGTATTTGTCCTTATGAGACTGTGTTAGTTCACTCAGCATAATGCTCTCCAGCCTCTACAAAGTTACTTAGTATTTTTCAAAATCATTGCTCCTGAGTGCTGCATAGGATTCCATTGTGTGAATGTATCACAATTTCTGAAGACATTTGGTAGTGTTTGAACATTTGGGCTATATCCATGTTCTTGAGATGGTGAATAACAGTGCTATGAACATTGGTGTACAAATCTCCATTTGTGTCTTAGTTCCAATTTCCTTGGGATATATTCCTAATACTGGAATAGCTGTTTCTAATAGTCGAATATAAAGTTTCTATGTTCAACTTTATAAGGAAACACCAAACTATATTCCAGCGTGGTTGTACCATTTTACAATCCCATCAACAGTAAATTGAGAGTTCTCACCTCTCGAAATCCTCTCCAGTATTTATTGCTTGCTGCCCTACTAAACTTTGCCACTGCTACTGGAATGAGATGGCATTTCATTTGATTTTGATTTGCATCTCTCCTATTGCCAGTGATTTTGAGCACTTCTTTATGTCTGTTGGCCACCCAAATTACTTGCTCTGTGAAAAATACTTGCATATCTTTTGCCCACTTTGTAATTGGGTTATCAATAATTTTCTTCTGGAGGTTCAGTAGTATTCTGTGAATTTTTGTTATGAGACCTTATCTGAGATGGTATTGCCAAATTTGGTTTCCAGATAGTAGGTTTTCTTTTCACTCTGTTGACAAAATTTTTTTATGAGCACAGATTTAATCTTTAAAAAGTCCTATTCATTAATTTTATCCTGTTCAGATTGTGGTTTTTTTTCTACCTGTATTTGGCAGTCTCTTTATACCATAGCCTAGGCCTTCTAAGCTTTAGTCCCAGTTTGTCTCTTACAAACTTTATGGTTTTAGGCTTCACTTCCAGGTCTCTGATCCACCTTGAGTTGGTTTTTGTGTATGAGATATGGATCCTGTTTCAGCTTTCTGCAAGCACTAGTCCAATTTTGCCAGCATTATTTGTTGAAGAGGTTGTCATTTCCCCATTTGATAGGTTTTATTTCCTTATTGAATATCAGTTGACCATAGATAGCTGGGTCTATTTCTGGGTTCTCAATTCTGTTCCATTGGCCTATGTGCCTGTCATTGTACCAGTAACATGCTGTTTTGGTTACTACCACTATGTAGTAGCTTTCGAGGTTAGGGAGTGCTATACCTCCCATTTCATTTCTGTTTTTCAGAAATGCTTTGCTTATTTGGGGTCTCTTTCCTCTCCAAATAAACTTGACAATTTCCCTTTCAATCTCCTTGAAAAATGAATATGGTATCTGTATTAGGATTGCATTGAACATGTAGATTTCTTTTGATAGGATTGTCATATTAAAGATTGTAGAAGGAGAATTGATGCCTTTGAGCTGTGGTGCTGGAGAATAGTACTGAATATACCATGGAATGCTGAGAGAACATACAGGTTAAACCTGGAGAGGGTGAAACCAAGCTGCTTCTTGGGAGCAAGGATTCTGAAGCTCCATCTGACATACTCTGGGCATGTTACAAGGAAGAACCAGGGCTTAGAGAGGGACATCATGTTTGGGATGGTGCAGGGACAGTGTAAAAGAGGAAAGCCCTTGATAAGATGGATTGACTCAGTGACTAGGATAATAGTGGTAGGTATGTCAGAGAAAATAAGGTTGGCTCAAGATAGAGCAGAGTTCAGATATAGCGTAGCTATGAATTGCAAGAGACTCGACAGCACCT